GGGGGGGGGGGGGGGCTCCCATCCCCTTCTTGGTCACCCTGCTCAATCTTCCTCATTTTCAGGAACACCACAGAAGTATGACCCTACCTTCAAAGGACCCATTTACCACAGGTAAGGGCTCTGGGTTCCTGGGAGGGGTGGGGTCTCTGCTGGAATTGCCTCTACCCATTTCTTTACTCCACCCCCCCACCTGCTCTCCAACAAACTGGTGATAGATATTTGCAACTTGACAATTAAAGAACTAATTTCCTTAATATACAAGGAGTCTTTACAAATGCATTTTTAAGCTCAGGCAAAATACTGGAAGAGATAATTTCTAGAACAAGAAATACCATAGGCAGTGAAGTTATGGGAAGGTACTCAAACTCACTGATAGGTAAAGGAATGGATAAAACAATAACCAAATAGAATTTCGCCACCATGGATTAGCAAAGATGAAAAAGATTGGCACTTAGGCTGTTCTGAATCTAACCCGCACAGTGTCTTCTTGGAGGGAATTCGGAAATACGAATTTTTAAATGTGCAGCTCTAAGGGCGCCTGGGTGGCTCAGTCCGGCAAGGTTCTGACTTCCGCTCAGGTCATGATCTCACGGTCCGTGAGTTCGAGCCCAGCGTCAGGCTCTGTGCTGACAGCTGGGAGCCTGGAGCCTGCTTCTGATTCTGTGTCTCTCCATCTCTTGGCCCCTCCCCTGCTCATGCTCTGTGTCTCTCTGTCTCTCAATAATAAATAAATGTTAAAAAAAATTTTTTTAATAAAAAAAAGTAATAATTGTGCAGCTCTTTGTTCCAAAGAGTAAAATTCTAGGGAAAAAAAATTCCCCATCAACCTTGTACACCTGGACAAAAAGGGATGATGTAGCTGCTTTTTTTGAAAATGACAAGACCCAGCAATCTGAATGTGCATCTTTGGGAACTGGAACTAGTTGATAAGTTACAGTGGATCTTTGGGTCCTACTGTTCCGCAACTGTTAAAACGTACAAAAACCCGTGTAAGTGGTGACGTGGATCACTGACAAAATATTAAGTGAAAAACAGCAAGACACAGGACAGTGGGTGTATCACAGTCACTTGAGTTAACAACAACAAAAAATGGTTTTTGAACATTTGTATCCAATAAATAACCCAAAAGACTCAGGAGAGGGGCACCTGGCTGGCTCAGTCAGAAGAGCATGTGATTCTCGATCTCAGGGTCTGGAGTTCCAGCCCCACGTTGGGTGTAAAGATTACTAAAAAAGTAAATAAATAAATTGAAAATAAGAAAAATCATTAACAAAGTTTACTTACAGGGAGAGGGGCTATGTGGGTGACTTATTTTTTTCATTGCATGCATTCCTGCATAATTTAGTGTTTATTTATATTTGAGAGAGAGAGAGAGAGACAGCGTGTGAGCGGGGGAGGGGCAGAGAGAGACAGAGACATCATTGGAAGCAGGCTCCAGGCTCTGAGCTGTCAGCACAGATCCTGACCCGGGTCTGGGACTCATGAGCCATGAGATCATGACCTGAGCCGAAGTCAGACACTTAACCGACTGAGCCACCCAGGCGCCCCAAAATAGTTTACATTTTAAAAA